CGCCCGATTCTCGAATACGGACTACCCGCTGTCTACCCTCTCACCAAATCCGAATGTGATATGATAGAGAAGGTTCAACGGCGTGGATCCAAATCCGTCCCTGAGTTGCGAGACCTGTCGTATTCACATCGACTTCAACGACTGAACTTGTTCTCTCTAGGTTACCGCCGTCACCGAGGAGATTTGATTTTCACCCGACGTATTCTCAGAGGAGAATTGGGTTGCGAGTTACAGGACTTCTTTCAACTTAACACTGAGAGTTCGACACGAGGCCACCGCATGAAACTGTTCAAACCGAGGAATCTCCGTGTGCGGCTCAATTTGGCCTTATCAACTCGCGTGGTGAATGATTGGAACCGGTTGCCGGATCCTGTTGTGGATGCTGAGACAGAGGAACGTTTCAAACAACTGTTAGATTCTCACCTGAGCGCGCTGGGATTCTGCTGCCTCTAAGGCAGCTACAGTGGTCCGCTGCGGAACCTTCTACCGCAATGACACGCCATCTCCGCAATGATCGGGAAGTGAAGGAGCTGACAAAGGATCTTCCTTCTGCTCTCTATCATCCAATGATCCAATGACTCTGACCCCAGCGGCCGGAGATGCAGGGTATATAATCAATCGGCTGTAAGTACCTCCGGGTGAACTAATTTGTGAGGAGGCACCTTTCGCGGTACCTGCATCTGATACTGAATTTGTGGTGTGGTAGTTCGAAGGAACGACCTCCCCTGCAGTGGGACAATCATCTCTGGTAGGCACTGGTGCAATGTGGGGATCACGTAAAGGAGCACCCTTGACCAAGGTCGCAGATACGCCAACCAGGCAGTTATTAGTATCTTCCAACTGACATACCCGCGGGACCTTGGCTTGTGAGCTAAGTGTGTCCGGGGCCACCTGATACCGGCCATTAGTCTGACTCTCGATTAAGCCGGCTCGGTTAAGCATTTGATCACGATAAACAGGGTTCCTAAATTCAACCAGAATCGGCCTAGCAAATCCTTGCTGACGCAGTGGACCAGTCTCTCTCCAGCTACCTACACGATGCACCCTTTTGATACCGACGTTTAAAGGTATCCCGGCTATGCGGAGGCTGTCGTGTATTCGTCTCCTGTCCAGGTCTCGTCGAGTCTTTGCCTCGTGTATCACCGGCTCCTCCCGATTGTAGATAAGAACATTTCTTTGCCTGCCCATGGCAATCTCCGCACTCCGAGCGTAGCTATTTAAAGAATCGCGCAATTCGTCAATCTTCACTCGCAGTGCATCTATGAGCAAAGCCTGGTCGCTGATCACTTTTTCTGCGATGGAGAGCCGCTGCAGATACTTCGCGTCAGCTACCCTCTGAACATCAGGCAACTGTGGAGGAGCAGCAAGCTGCTCGCGTAATAAGCAAGCACAAGTATCAGCTAGGCACACACAGTGAAAACAGATCCACTTCAACTGGGGATGCTGGGTGTACAGGTCAATGGACGAATGGTCTAACCTAGAGCAGGTGCTATGATACCATAATAAACATCGGTCACACTGTATGCCTTCCGTGACTGCAGTGCCACAACTGTGCTCGCCACATTTATCGTTAGTATCAAGAGCCATAGTTATTTGGAAGGTGGAACCAAGGATAAGCAAAAAGCGAAACGAGTAAGCAGATGCAGGAGAAAACAGCAAAGAACAAACTCACGGAAGACAAGAAGCCTTTGGGACGGGTAGGTTCAAGTATGCAGCAGCAAAGATAGCAGCCCAAAAGTCGAAGAGTCGAAAGCCCTGGTTCACTTGCTGGTAGAAGGGCTAGATGTGGAAAGGCGGACCGTAGCGACGTCAGGAAGGATTTGGTTGTGACTGGAATACGAGCCAGGCGATTCAAAGCCTAGTCGGTCAGGAAAAGTGCTACAGCAGACTGCAGTATCTTGATGCCACAAAGCAAAAACGCCAGGTTGTATTAGATTGAAGGGGCTGCTGGACTGCCACAAATACACTCAGACGCGTTACAGCGATTACCCGCGTAAAATCTATTGACCAATTCAACGGTGCATCCTTCTTCGATAGGTGTTTGAGTGGGTCTCAGACATATCCGGTAAAAAAATTTGTTGTAATGGCTTACCAATGCGAGGAAAGATCGTAGAGTAGCCAGATCTTCCGGTGGGGACCAACTGGGTGGCTGCAATATTTTCTGGATCACTTTTGTCGAAAATAATTCTGTGATATTTTATGTAGTTTAGCAAGAACACACATTTTCTCAATACTATATTGAAATCGATTGTGTACGCAATATAGGCAATGTGACAGTTCATTTTGATGGCAGCTAGTGACGATGATGTCATCGAGGCTGGCAGCTACTCCCGATAGCCGGGTAAACATGGAATCCATTATATGCTAGAGTATAACTGGTGTCGATTTTACCCCAACTTGTAGTCGGTTAAATCTGAATAATCTGCGGTGTGTGTAAATCATCAGGAGTCCAGTTTCGCGATAAAGGTATCACCATTGAGTTTGGTGAACAAATCCTCTGGAACTCGTAGTGGGTACTGGCTTGCCGAACAACCTACTTGTGGTACAAGCTGGTTGGTTCGGGATAATCCTGTTCCAGCCAACGGACCGGCAGCAGTGTTCCAGAACATGATGGGTTTTCCCCTGGCCGGCGTTCTCCCTATACAAAGCAGCATTTCTGTTTAACAACGCTGCGACGTGGCAGATGTGACTGGCCACTAAATAAAGACACCGCTCTTTGTTTCACTCTGGTACAACATTGTATTCTAGCACTCTCCTGCTGAAATCGTGGGGAGGATCGGGCCTCTGTTTCATAACCGACAAAAGGAAAGGCCTCATCATCATCAACAGCAGTGCATCAGCCATTTGAACTGATGCTTCGCTGCCATAAAACCATGAGGACCTATGAAATAAAGAAGGGGGAGAGAAAGGGGACTTACCTGAAAACCTTAATGCACTAAGCAAACATTCAGGGTCGAGTCGCCTACACCTTGTGTAGTCAACATACCGTCACAAACAGCTGGCTATCGTGCAAACATAAAGCGGCATCGGCGAGACGGCTTCCTTGCGGCTTTCACTGCCCCGCGTCATAATCAGCCATTACCCCACAGATAACTCAGCACCAGACACACTTTAAACAGACAAACAGATTAGGAGACGGTAGCAGACGCGCCACTGGTGTCGGTTGCGAGCCATGTCCTGTAAAGTCTCGAGCCAAGCACAAGGCGAGTCACATGGACTCCAGCCCGGAAGGCGAGACGGACCAACGGCACCCAGTTTGGTCGTCAGTGACTTCATTTCCCGCTGCCAAGTCAACTTCTGTTCACCTCGAGCCTTGCGCCACCCTACACCTAGCAGACTAAACAAGGCCCTCCTAGGTAAGCGGTGACCAGGCATACGTAGCACGTGCCCGAGCCAACGCAACTTATTCAGTGCTATCTGTTGTTCTAGGGAGCTAGCATGATTATCACTACTTGGTACTCGCCTACGCACATCATCGTTGCGGACACGCTGGTGCCATCCGACACCAGCAATGCTTCGCAGACAACGATGATCAAAGACTTGAAGGCGCTTCAGCTCTTCAGACCGAAGGGGCCAAGTCTCACTACCATAGAGCAGAACGGCCCTCACTGTGGCCTTGTATACACGGCCTTTCAGAGGAAGGGAAACTCCCTTCTGTCGCCAAAGATGCCGCAGGTCCAAGAAGGTAGCTCTGGCTTTTGCAATGCGTGAGCTGACGTCAGTTTCTATGCGCCCATCATTGCTGATGCAGCTGCAAGATAAGTGAATTGATCAACCACCTCGAGTTCCCCGTTAGCAAACGTCAAGGGGTCATAAAGTGGCTGGTGATCCTGCAGCAACACTTTTCACTTTGAAGGTGCCAAGTGCATACCATATAGTGGGACAATTCTAGACAGGCTATTCAGGGTTGATTGTGCCGCCCCAACATCGTCGAAAAGTAAGACGATATCGTCCGCATAATCTAGATCAACTAACCTTTCACCAGGCAGCATTTCAACGCCTACACCGTAAGATTCCGCCAGGGAACACTCTGTGGTAGAATCCACGACGAAATTAAGAAAAACGAGGAAATGGGACAACCCTGATGAACGCCACTTGTGGTCGGAAAGCTATCCGATAGGACACCATAGACCCTGACACGTCCTGTAGTGTTCGAGTATAGAGCACGAAGGATATTCACATATTTCGTGGGAACACCTTTCCGCGCAAGTATTTCGAACAAAATCGATCGATCGACTGAGTCGAACACACTCTCGAAATCGAGGAACAGCTATTGTCGGTCTGCGGTATGCGTGGCGCTGCTCTAGCACCTTCTGCAAAGTGAATATATGGTCTATACAGCTACGTCCTGGGCGGAAGCCGGCCTGCTCTTCCCTAACCCGAGATTCCCGTTCCGCAGTGTGGCGACGAATGAGAATCGAGACCAATACTTTCGTCACTACTGGCGTTAGGCTTATACCCCTGTGGTTAGAACAGTCTGTGCGACTGCCCTTCTTGTATATTGCCACTTTAATCGATTCGCTCCAATTAGTCGGGACACTTGCTTCCAGATACATTCGAATAAAGTCACTGCTTTGCAGAGGACCTCACCTCTATCCTTCAATAGTGCAGGTGGGCGGGGATCCGGACGAGCGGCACGAAAACGATTAGGGGCTGTGATCGCGTTTCGGACCTCAGCCTCCGACGGAGGCTCTAAACTAACCGTCCATGGCTCGTCCTGCATCACCTGAGTAGGAAGAGGTCCGGGAGCAGGAGGCCAGCTGAACTGATCTTGAAAGTGTTCCGCCTAACGAGCCATACGGCGCTCCTTATTGTGTATCAGCGCACCCGCGCTGTCTCTGATTGTCTCACTGACGCTTTCTTTTCTGGGACCAGTGGTGCGGATCAGCTGGAAGAGCTTGCGGTAATTGCCTACTGCTCCTGCCTCTTCCATTCCTTGAGCCCTACCGATCCACCAGGCTTCCTTGTCAGCACGTAGGCTCTGCTTTAGTTCACGCCTAATGGCCCGTCTGGTCATAGTGTGCTCAGGGGGGGGGGGGGGGGGGGGGGGGGGGGGGGTGGGGGGGGGGGGGGTGGGGGGGGGGGGGTGGGGGGTGGGAGGGGGGGGGGGGGTGGGGGGGGGGGGGTGGGGGGGGGGGGGGGGGGGGGGGGGGGGGGGGGGGGGGGGGGGGGGTGGGGGGGGGGGGGGGGGGGGGGGGGGGGGGGGGGGGGGGGGGGGGGGGGGGGGGGGGGGGGGGGGGGGGGGGGGGGGGTGGGGGGGGGGGGGGGGGGGGGGGGGGGGGGGGGGGGGGGGGGGGGGGGGGGGGGGTGGTGGGGGGGGGGGTGGGGGGGGGGGGGGGGGGGGGGGGGGGGGGGGGGGGGGGGGGGGGGGGGGGGGGGGGGGGGGGGGGGGGGTGGGGGGGGGTGGGGGGGGGGGGGGGGGGGGGGGGGGGGGGGGGGGGGGGGGGGGGGGGGGGGGGGGGGGGGGGGGGGGGGGGGGGGGGGGGGGGGGGGGGGGGGGGGGGGGGGGGGGGGGGGGGGGGGGGGGGGTGGGGGGGGGGGGGGGGGGGGGGGGGGGGGGGGGGGGGGGGGGGGGGGGGGGGGGGGGGGGGGGGGGGGGGGGGGGGGGGGGGGGGGGGGGGGGGGGGGGGGGGGGGGGGGGGGGGGGGGGGGGGGGGGCGGGGGGGGGGGGGGGGGGGGGGGGGGGGGGGGGGGGGGGGGGGGGGGGGGGGGGGGGGGGGGGGGGGGGGGGGGGGGGGGGGGGGGGGGGGGGGGGGGGGGGGGGGGGGGGGGGGGGGGGGGGGGGGGGGGGGGGGGGGGGGGGGGGGGGGGGGGGGGGGGGGGGGGGGGGGGGGGGGGGGGGGGGGGGGGGGGGGGGGGGGGGGGGGGGGGGGGGGGGGGGGGGGGGGGGGGGGGGGGGGGGGGGGGGGGGGGGGGGGGGGGGGGGGGGGGGGGGGGGGGGGGGGGGGGGGGGGGGGGGGGGGGGGGGGGGGGGGGGGGGGGGGGGGGGGGGGGGGGGGGGGGGGGGGGGGGGGGGGGGGGGGGGGGGGGGGGGGGGGGGGGGGGGGGGGGGGGGGGGGGGGGGGGGGGGGGGGGGGGGGGGGGGGGGGGGGGGGGGGGGGGGGGGGGGGGGGGGGGGGGGGGGGGGGGGGGGGGGGGGGGGGGGGGGGGGGGGGGGGGGGGGGGGGGGGGGGGGGGGGGGGGGGGGGGGGGGGGGGGGGGGGGGGGGGGGGGGGGGGGGGGGGGGGGGGGGGGGGGGGGGGGGGGGGGGGGGGGGGGGGGGGGGGGGGGGGGGGGGGGGGGGGGGGGGGGGGGGGGGGGGGGGGGGGGGGGGGGGGGGGGGGAGGGGGGGGGGGGGGGGGGGGGGGGGGGGGGTGGGGGGGGGGGGGGGTTGGGGGGGGGGGGGGGGGGGGGGTGGGGGGGGGGGGAGGGGGGGTGTGGGGGGGAGGGGGGGGGGGTGGGGGGGCGGGGGGGGGGGGGGGGGGGGGGGGGGGGGGGGGGGGGGGGGGGGGGGGGGGTGGGGTGGGGGGAGGGGGGGGGGGGGGGGGGGGGGGGGGGGGGTGGGGGGGGGGGGGGGGGGGGGGGGGGGGGGGGGGGAGGGGGGGGGGGGGGGTGGGGGGGTGGGGGGGGGGGGGGGGGGGGGGGGGGGGGGGGGGGGGGGGGGGGGGGGGGGGGGGGGGGGGGGGGGGGGGGGGGGGGGGGGGGGGGGGGGGGGGGGGGGGGGGGGGGGGGGGGGGGGGGGGGGGGGGGGGGGGGGGGGGGGGGGGGGGGGGGGGGGGGGGGGGGGGGGGGGGGGGGGGGGGGGGGGGGGGGGGGGGGGGGGGGGGGGGGGGGGGGGGGGGGGGGGGGGGGGGGGGGGGGGGGGGGGGGGGGGGGGGGGGGGGGGGGGGGGGGGGGGGGGGGGGGGGGGGGGGGGGGGGGGGGGGGGGGGGGGGGGGGGGGGGGGGGGGGGGGGGGGGGGGGGGGGGGGGGGGGGGGGGGGGGGGGGGGGGGGGGGGGGGGGGGGGGGGGGGGGGGGGGGGGGGGGGGGGGGGGGGGGGGGGGGGGGGGGGGGGGGGGGGGGGGGGGGGGGGGGGGGGGGGGGGGGGGGGGGGGGGGGGGGGGGGGGGGGGGGGGGGGGGGGGGGGGGGGGGGGGGGGGGGGGGGGGGGGGGGGGGGGGGGGGGGGGGGGGGGGGGGGGGGGGGGGGGGGGGGGGGGGGGGGGGGGGGGGGGGGGGGGGGGGGGGGGGGGGGGGGGGGGGGGGGGGGGGGGGGGGGGGGGGGGGGGGGGGGGGGGGGGGGGGGGGGGGGGGGGGGGGGGGGGGGGGGGGGGGGGGGGGGGGGGGGGGGGGGGGGGGGGGGGGGGGGGGGGGGGGGGGGGGGGGGGGGGGGGGGGGGGGGGGGGGGGGGGGGGGGGGGGGGGGGGGGGGGGGGGGGGGGGGGGGGGGGGGGGGGGGGGGGGGGGGGGGGGGGGGGGGGGGGGGGGGGGGGGGGGGGGGGGGGGGGGGGGGGGGGGGGGGGGGGGGGGGGGGGGGGGGGGGGGGGGGGGGGGGGGGGGGGGGGGGGGGGGGGGGGGGGGGGGGGGGGGGGGGGGGGGGGGGGGGGGGGGGGGGGGGGGGGGGGGGGGGGGGGGGGGGGGGGGGGGGGGGGGGGGGGGGGGGGGGGGGGGGGGGGGGGGGGGGGGGGGGGGGGGGGGGGGGGGGGGGGGGGGGGGGGGGGGGGGGGGGGGGGGGGGGGGGGGGGGGGGGGGGGGGGGGGGGGGGGGGGGGGGGGGGGGGGGGGGGGGGGGGGGGGGGGGGGGGGGGGGGGGGGGGGGGGGGGGGGGGGGGGGGGGGGGGGGGGGGGGGGGGGGGGGGGGGGGGGGGGGGGGGGGGGGGGGGGGGGGGGGGGGGGGGGGGGGGGGGGGGGGGGGGGGGGGGGGGGGGGGGGGGGGGGGGGGGGGGGGGGGGGGGGGGGGGGGGGGGGGGGGGGGGGGGGGGGGGGGGGGGGGGGGGGGGGGGGGGGGGGGGGGGGGGGGGGGGGGGGGGGGGGGGGGGGGGGGGGGGGGGGGGGGGGGGGGGGGGGGGGGGGGGGGGGGGGGGGGGGGGGGGGGGGGGGGGGGGGGGGGGGGGGGGGGGGGGGGGGGGGGGGGGGGGGGGGGGGGGGGGGGGGGGGGGGGGGGGGGGGGGGGGGGGGGGGGGGGGGGGGGGGGGGGGGGGGGGGGGGGGGGGGGGGGGGGGGGGGGGGGGGGGGGGGGGGGGGGGGGGGGGGGGGGGGGGGGGGGGGGGGGGGGGGGGGGGGGGGGGGGGGGGGGGGGGGGGGGGGGGGGGGGGGGGGGGGGGGGGGGGGGGGGGGGGGGGGGGGGGGGGGGGGGGGGGGGGGGGGGGGGGGGGGGGGGGGGGGGGGGGGGGGGGGGGGGGGGGGGGGGGGGGGGGGGGGGGGGGGGGGGGGGGGGGGGGGGGGGGGGGGGGGGGGGGGGGGGGGGGGGGGGGGGGGGGGGGGGGGGGGGGGGGGGGGGGGGGGGGGGGGGGGGGGGGGGGGGGGGGGGGGGGGGGGGGGGGGGGGGGGGGGGGGGGGGGGGGGGGGGGGGGGGGGGGGGGGGGGGGGGGGGGGGGGGGGGGGGGGGGGGGGGGGGGGGGGGGGGGGGGGGGGGGGGGGGGGGGGGGGGGGGGGGGGGGGGGGGGGGGGGGGGGGGGGGGGGGGGGGGGGGGGGGGGGGGGGGGGGGGGGGGGGGGGGGGGGGGGGGGGGGGGGGGGGGGGGGGGGGGGGGGGGGGGGGGGGGGGGGGGGGGGGGGGGGGGGGGGGGGGGGGGGGGGGGGGGGGGGGGGGGGGGGGGGGGGGGGGGGGGGGGGGGGGGGGGGGGGGGGGGGGGGGGGGGGGGGGGGGGGGGGGGGGGGGGGGGGGGGGGGGGGGGGGGGGGGGGGGGGGGGGGGGGGGGGGGGGGGGGGGGGGGGGGGGGGGGGGGGGGGGGGGGGGGGGGGGGGGGGGGGGGGGGGGGGGGGGGGGGGGGGGGGGGGGGGGGGGGGGGGGGGGGGGGGGGGGGGGGGGGGGGGGGGGGGGGGGGGGGGGGGGGGGGGGGGGGGGGGGGGGGGGGGGGGGGGGGGGGGGGGGGGGGGGGGGGGGGGGGGGGGGGGGGGGGGGGGGGGGGGGGGGGGGGGGGGGGGGGGGGGGGGGGGGGGGGGGGGGGGGGGGGGGGGGGGGGGGGGGGGGGGGGGGGGGGGGGGGGGGGGGGGGGGGGGGGGGGGGGGGGGGGGGGGGGGGGGGGGGGGGGGGGGGGGGGGGGGGGGGGGGGGGGGGGGGGGGGGGGGGGGGGGGGGGGGGGGGGGGGGGGGGGGGGGGGGGGGGGGGGGGGGGGGGGGGGGGGGGGGGGGGGGGGGGGGGGGGGGGGGGGGGGGGGGGGGGGGGGGGGGGGGGGGGGGGGGGGGGGGGGGGGGGGGGGGGGGGGGGGGGGGGGGGGGGGGGGGGGGGGGGGGGGGGGGGGGGGGGGGGGGGGGGGGGGGGGGGGGGGGGGGGGGGGGGGGGGGGGGGGGGGGGGGGGGGGGGGGGGGGGGGGGGGGGGGGGGGGGGGGGGGGGGGGGGGGGGGGGGGGGGGGGGGGGGGGGGGGGGGGGGGGGGGGGGGGGGGGGGGGGGGGGGGGGGGGGGGGGGGGGGGGGGGGGGGGGGGGGGGGGGGGGGGGGGGGGGGGGGGGGGGGGGGGGGGGGGGGGGGGGGGGGGGGGGGGGGGGGGGGGGGGGGGGGGGGGGGGGGGGGGGGGGGGGGGGGGGGGGGGGGGGGGGGGGGGGGGGGGGGGGGGGGGGGGGGGGGGGGGGGGGGGGGGGGGGGGGGGGGGGGGGGGGGGGGGGGGGGGGGGGGGGGGGGGGGGGGGGGGGGGGGGGGGGGGGGGGGGGGGGGGGGGGGGGGGGGGGGGGGGGGGGGGGGGGGGGGGGGGGGGGGGGGGGGGGGGGGGGGGGGGGGGGGGGGGGGGGGGGGGGGGGGGGGGGGGGGGGGGGGGGGGGGGGGGGGGGGGGGGGGGGGGGGGGGGGGGGGGGGGGGGGGGGGGGGGGGGGGGGGGGGGGGGGGGGGGGGGGGGGGGGGGGGGGGGGGGGGGGGGGGGGGGGGGGGGGGGGGGGGGGGGGGGGGGGGGGGGGGGGGGGGGGGGGGGGGGGGGGGGGGGGGGGGGGGGGGGGGGGGGGGGGGGGGGGGGGGGGGGGGGGGGGGGGGGGGGGGGGGGGGGGGGGGGGGGGGGGGGGGGGGGGGGGGGGGGGGGGGGGGGGGGGGGGGGGGGGGGGGGGGGTGGGGGGGGGGGGGGGGGGGGGGGGGGGGGGGGGGGGGGGGGGGGGGGGGGGGGGGGGGGGGGGGGGGGGGGGGGGGGGGGGGGGGGGGGGGGGGGGGGGGGGGGGGGGGGGGGGGGGGGGGGGGGGGGGGGTGGGGGGGGGGGGGGGGGGGGGGGGGGGGGGGGGGGGGGGGGGGGGGGGGGGGGGGGGGGGGGGGGGGGGGGGGGGGGGGGGGGGGGGGGGGGGGGGGGGGGGGGGGGGGGGGGGGGGGGGGGGGGGGGGGGGGGGGGGGGGGGGGGGGGGGGGGGGGGGGGGGGGGGGGGGGGGGGGGGGGGGGGGGGGGGGGGGGGGGGGGGGGGGGGGGGGGGGGGGGGGGGGGGGGGGGGGGGGGGGGGGGGGGGGGGGGGGGGGGGGGGGGGGGGGGGGGGGGGGGGGGGGGGGGGGGGGGGGGGGGGGGGGGGGGGGGGGGGGGGGGGGGGGGGGGGGGGGGGGGGGGGGGGGGGGGGGGGGGGGGGGGGGGGGGGGGGGGGGGGGGGGGGGGGGGGGGGGGGGGGGGGGGGGGGGGGGGGGGGGGGGGGGGGGGGGGGGGGGGGGGGGGGGGGGGGGGGGGGGGGGGGGGGGGGGGGGGGGGGGGGGGGGGGGGGGGGGGGGGGGGGGGGGGGGGGGGGGGGGGGGGGGGGGGGGGGGGGGGGGGGGGGGGGGGGGGGGGGGGGGGGGGGGGGGGGGGGGGGGGGGGGGGGGGGGGGGGGGGGGGGGGGGGGGGGGGGGGGGGGGGGGGGGGGGGGGGGGGGGGGGGGGGGGGGGGGGGGGGGGGGGGGGGGGGGGGGGGGGGGGGGGGGGGGGGGGGGGGGGGGGTGTCTCTATTGTCCTCACTGACGCTTTCTTTTCTGGGACCAGTGGTGCGGATCAGCTGGAAGAGCTTGCGGTAATTGCCTACTGCTCCTGCCTCTTCCATTTCTTGAGCCCTACCGATCCACCAGGCTTCCTTGTCAGCACGTAGGCTCTGCTTTAGTTCACGCCTAATGGCCCGTCTGGTCATAGTGTGCTCAGAGCCAGCCGGGAGGTGTCTTCTAGATTTCAACAGGTTCACCGACCTCTCGGATATCCAGTGACTGGTGCGGTGACGATGGTAAAGCGAGAAGCAGGATCGGTACGCTTTAGAACCAATACGCAAATATAAGGCCAACCTCCGATGAGTGGAGAACACCAAAAGTAACGCTAGGAAACATTTATTAAGTGGGGCGAAACGCTATCTAGTGCTAAAAATAAGGCACCGGAAGATAGCTAGCTAGGGGAAAGGTGTGGTCGCGTGCGCGGAGAGCAAAGATGGCCGCGGAGCCGATGAGCGCCGCGCCGTTCGAAGGCGGATGCTATGTTGACTCAAACAAACGCGAGCAGCGTTCAAACAGGCGAGCGGCTAATTTGCTATGTACATCGAGAAAATATAATTTTGTAATATTTTACGCAGCATGCGGCAGCCAAACAGGGGAATCTCCAGGTCACTACAATGGATAGTGCCACAAGCAGATGCTCATGCGTCGTACCTGGCGGTCGCGATCCTATTCTGCTGAAGCTCAGTGTCATTAGGACAAGACAGCGACAGTTCGGTACGCCGTGCGTCTTGATAGACTTTCCTGACCGTGGACTGAGACAATTTCTCCGTTGCCAATCGTAGGGGACGCTTGGTGCGCATCCCGGTAAAGTTCATGGAGAAACGACAGCGTAGCACAGTATGATCAGAGTCGACACAGGTACTCCAGTACGAGCGGCAATCCACGCCACCTGTAACTTATGGCTATGTGGTCACTCTGGGTCCGTCACTGGCCGGCTACAGGAGGACGCCAAGTGGCACTTCAGTGCCCACTGTGTTTAAAAGCATTGATAATAAGAAACAACTGGTGCCCCGCACACAGTTACAGCAGACGCTCACCGTTGTCAGTCCGTTCGGAGTTAAGCGCATAATTACCACCCAGCTGAGCTTCTGAAGAGCTCAGAAGCCCTACTTGTGCGTTCATATCCCCTGCAAGTATTATAATATCCGAACTAGTAGCACTGCGTAGTAGCGCATTCAATTCGTGATAGAATGTGCCCTTGACAGCATTAGAACTGCATTCGGTGGGATCATAAGCGGAAATCATTAACAAACAGCGTTTTTTATTACTTCGTGAATCAGCCTTAGCTGACGTCGTCAAACGTGCTGCACATAAACGGCTGTTCACCGGAATCCAATCGATCAACGAATGCACAGCATTAGAGCTTAGAATGATACCTACACCAACTTGACCGGAGAGTGCTGCATTGGCGTCCCCGGATGCGTGCAACCAATAACGAGAGAATAAGCAGGGTGCAGTTAATTCAATAACCCGTTAGAGCCATTGATCCTAGTTTCGGACACACAACACACATCAATACCCAGTGTGACCAAGGTGCGTGCGAGTGCAGACTGTTGACCTATTTTCTTAGATTGGGAACGTTGAACGTCGCCATGGAAACGTGTCAGATTGGCCTCATAAGGGACTGTTGCCGATAGGCGTCCAGTGCGTGTTGCATGGAGGTGGTTGCAGATGGTTCTACTCCAGTGGCACTTCGGTTGCTGTCAATTAAACTGGGAATTATAGAAGGAAGGTTAGTAATGGGGGTCGGGATGAGAGTAAGAGAAACAGGTAGAAAAGAAAGAAGGGAGGCGCCAGCAGTAGCATGTTTTCGTTTATCCGCCCTGCTGTATGCAGCAGATAAGGCGACTCTTGATAATCCGCGCGACGGCCGATGCAGGATGAAGT